GCGCGTCAGTGATCTTCGACAGAATGGAATTACTAAACGGAAAAGCGAAGTAAGGCATGCCAAGACATATATACAGCAATAACATGTAGTTTTGAGCACTTGTGATGTGATCCCAGGTGAATCCAATCGATGTTAGTACCAAAATGGCGGCAATGTGTATCGACAAAGCAACCAGGAATAGTTTGCGTTCATCAAAATAGTCGGAGGCGAGCGAGTATAGAATGAAAACAAACAAAGTGAATACAGTGCAGTTCAGGAAGAGTAGTTTAACGTGGATTAGTTCAAGATGAAAATGGTTCAATGCCAGAACGGGAACATAGAATGCGGCAAGACTGGAAAAAACTTCATTTGCAAATGTCAAGTAAAGCAGACAGAAAATCCGCGAGTTCCATTCAATCTTCGCTTTGCTTTCGACATCATAATCGGAAAGGGTTCGGTGACCACTCGGTTTGATTCGGCAAGTTACTCAAGTTACTAAACTGCGTGTCGTTCAGAGGTATTTTGGTCCGCGTAAATCATTCGCAGTTAAAAATTGTTCCAGATTAAAACTCACTTCCATTGAAGAAAAGACAGATACAGGACATTAATGTTTTTAGGAAAAACCCAACCATAACCCTTACCATAACCCATTTCCTAACCTTTTGTAAAACCACAACCCTAATCCTTATTGTAATCCGAATCCTGCTCAAGTCATAGTGAAATAATCCTTGTGACGTTGCCCGTTTTCTCCGTATACTATTACATGGAAATATCGCTTCCACGAAATGTCGTAATATATCTGAGTACAAGAAATTCCATATTTTGAACTTTTCACGCTATATACAATCTCGTACCCAGAGCAATGCCTGTGCGCGGGCTACAATGGCATTGGCTCTGGGGAAATTGAATTTTTCCTGTGCTGTGATTGGTTTAACGTTTATCAATCGTGCATGCCGACAAAGAACCGGAACCCCTAAATTTAGGGGTTCCGGTTGTCAATTTCCCCAGAGCCAATGCCATCCTAGCCCGCGCACAGGCATTGCTCTGGGTACGAGATTGAGCTATATACAGCTATTTCAATTAAGGTTGTCCCCCGAGCAAAGCGGAAAAGTCGAATACGAGCGCGAAATGCCGCTGGGAATCGCTAATAAATTCATTCATTTGTTAGCGATTACGCCCTGGCGATTCCCAGCAGCCTTTCGCGCTCGTATTCGACTTTTCGGCTTTGCTCGGAAATGATTTCAAAAAATGTAACTTCTATATTCATTAATATCTGTCGTCACCATACTTACCCGTGTGGATGGTTAGGTGCAGACGTGGTCAGCTAATGATCTCCGGATTTGAGTTACTTGGATTCAGGTCCGAATCACGTG